TTTTTTTTTTCTCTGAATTATCTCTCTTACAAGAGAGGCTTTTGTTCGTGATTAGACACCTTCACAGGACTGCAAGAACTCTTTAAAGTTTAGAATCCTGGTGCTATTGGTCCATATGGGCAAGAAATTAAATATTAAGATGCTTTATCTCTCTCTGAGTAATGACTCTCATCTCCACCCACTATTTGTGCTGATGTGGGCAAGTGCACCTGCTGCTCAGAGACCATCTCAAGTTACTTCCAAGAAAGAATTGCTTTGAGAATGAGCCTTATAATTAAACAGTAATTGAAGCTTCCTGTGGTTTTATGCCCAGGTCATACCTAGTGCCTAAGGAGATGAATTACTTGGCTTAAAAGGTAGAATGGAATTCACTATTTCTACAAATAAGAAGAGGCCTTTACCTGACAGCCTTGCTTCCATGAGAACCCAGTTGGACTTCCAGCACTATAGACGACATATCTGTCTGATCTGACATCATCAGCTCAGTGTCTCAGAAATGGCTGCCAGAGAACTGAGGAAGACTAGAGCTGAAATGGGGTTCAGATATTTTGTTCATCTGGGTCAGGTGGCAGATTAGAAGCCTCACCAGCGAAAGTCAGTGAAAGGAAACAGTCAAGATGAGACACAACCATCTCCTTTCTTGCTAGAGAAAAGATTTATAAATGAGCTGTGTCTGTGAACATGTGTGTTCTGGTGTGCTTTCCTGTTGTCTGTGAACCTGTGTGCTCTGGTGTCCTTTTCTGTTCTGTGATAAAATATCATGACCAAAACCAACCTGAGGAGGGAACTCTTTCTTTCACTTCACAAGCCACAGTCCATCTTGAGAGAACTCAAGAGGAACCGGAAGGCAGGAACTGAAGAGCAAACCATAGAGAAGAGCTACTTACTGGCTTGCTTTCTATGGATTACTCAGGCTGCCTTCTCATTCAACCCAGAACTGCCTGCCTAGGGTGACACCACCCACAGTGGGATGGACCGTCTCACATTAATTGATAATCAAGGAAATATCCCAGCAGACTTCCCTAACAGCAATCTGTGAAGGGTTTCCCACTAAACCTGGTGGTGATCCATTCAGCTAAGCCGGCCAGCCAATGGGCTCCAAGCATCCCTGTCTCTGCCTCCAGTACTGATGTTTAGGACATGCTACATGCTATATGCTACATGCCACCACACCCAGCTTTCAACTAGGTGCTAGGCATCTAAACTGAGGTAACCATATTTGTAAAGCAGGCACTTTACCAACAGAACTATCTCCTGGTGGGGGGGACCTGAAGACAATACAGCTCAGTTCGAGACAGAAGGACCAGAAACTCACTCTAAACAGTGACTGGTCTAAACTCCATGGGGGGCAAAACATAAATCTGGCTCTATAGATTCAAACTGGGGTACAAGGTGTACCTCATCCATTAGCACAGTCTGCTACACAATGCATCGCTGGAAGGGGGAAAACTTAAAACATCCCACCAAGGAAGAAATCACAACTGTTGTGACCATCTTTTTATGTGTATGAGAGTTTGACTGCATGCCTGCTGCCCACTGAGCCAGAAGAAGGTGTTGCATCCCCTGGAACTAGAGTTAGAGATAGAGTTAGAGATAGAGTAGGTGCTGGAAACTGAACCCAGGTCCTCAGTAAGAGTAGCAAGTGCTTTTAACTGCTGAGCCATCTCTCCAGTCCCATGATGTAATTTTAAAAAACAACAGCAAAAAAAAAAAAAAAGGAACTAATGTACTTTTATTATACTTTGCCCTTTTTTGCCTGACAATATGTGCCCACTGCTACGATAGTAGAATGAGTGTTACAGGGGCAACCAACTACTTTATGAAAGTGAACGGAGAAAATTTGGAAAGAAGAGATTCAGAGGAAGAGAGGGTTAAGGGAGGGTAACAGGGTTGAATGTGTTCATAATGAAGCCCAATATCATGCATAATTAATATGTGCTAATAAGAACAAAATAAATAATAAAAATAACTTTAAAAGAAGTGGAAACCTGGGAAGGTAGAGTGGCTTTACTAGGGTCACAAGCAGACAGGGAGATAACTAGAGGACTTAGGAAATAAAACTCCTTCAGAGTAAAGAAATGTGGGTGGGAAGGGGGGAAGCAGAGGTGGGTGGGAGGAGGGGAGGGAGGGGGACTGGGGTTGGTATGTAAAGTGAAAAATAATTTAAATAAAACAATAGAAAGAAAAATAACTATGTGTTGGTGTGTGGGATAAACGGAGCTCGCGGAGAAAGAGAAATTTGGAGGACAGGTGAGTTCACTCTGTGACATTTGAACATGAAGGGTCTGTAGACGATCCAAAGGACACTGGTCAAGCAGACAATTGAATGCTAGCTATAAGCCTGAAGCTGAGGGAACTGGACAAGTGAAAGAGACTTAGGGGCCGTCAGGCTTCCCAGGCTGTTTGAAAATACCTGGGAGGGGAGGTAAGAAGGAGGGCTCAGACAGGGAGTACCACTGGCAGCACTGGACGCTGCCTATAAAACAAAGAGGAGTCCGGAAGTCGCCTTCAAGACAAGCAAGACAAGGGGATATCAGTAAAGGATGAGAAGGGGCTGGGGAGAGAAAAGTGTTCAGTAATTGGAGCATAGGCAACCAGTTTGTTTCCCCCCTTTCCTGAACAAAACCGACCTCCAGAGCCACAGTGAGTCTGGGAAACAGACTAACAGACATGGTCCCCAGGTTCCTCTACAGCCCAGACACATCTGCCAACCGAAGCAGATGTCTGTGCACTTGGAGATGACACGAAAGCTGCCACTTTACTGGCCCAAATAGCCACACAACTGGCACCTCACTTCAGACCTCTGCTTTTCTCCTTCCTTCCCTCTTGAGTGGTTCTTGGCACCCAGAAGTGCAGCAGTAATTTAGTAAGCTTAACTACAAAAGACACACGATAAACACCAGAATGAAAGTGAGAGGAAGCCTAACTTCTAGGGGCCCTGGTTGAAGCGAGAAACCAGGGGGTCTGCCTTGACTCTTCCTTCTGCCTCAACCCAGAGTGCTCCAACCCATCCGTAATCACCCTCCAGACCCACTTTCTTCCGAGCACCTCTCCCAGCTTGGGATTCTTCGGGCCACATCCCATCTTGCCTGGCTTAATGAACAAGTCTCCAAGCCTCCGGACTCACACCCTCTTACCTGCTGGCACTGTCTGTCAAAAACTCCAACACCTGTATTAATCTCTGCCTCAACCCTCCCACTGTTCCTCACCACTTAGTGGATAAAGCCAAACGTCCTGAGCTACGGACAGGTCTTCAACGATTTGGCTCCTGCCTTATGTGCTGAGATTACTTCGATCACACAGTAGGAAAAGAAAAAGAGTATGCATCTCAATGCATTTTGAACACAGACCATGCACCAAAGCCACGTGCTAGGAACTTTACATTTATGTAATAGTCACAGTGTTGGCTCAGACGTCTCATGTTAATAGTCTCCTGATGATTGTTTCTCAGAAAGGTAGATGTCACTCGCTCTGGTACACATGGCCAGCTAAGGTGGATAAGGCCTAGGTACTAAAATTATTTTCCCCAAATCAGAGCCTCAGCATGAAAAAAAAAAAATGTACTTTTGCCTTCCTAATTCTTCTCCTCTACCTTAAACCAACCAGGTGAAGAAACGTGGCCATATCCAGCCTGTCCTTGCGGCCAGAGAAACCTATACACTTTGGTGAACACTAGACTGAGCAAGACAGAAGAAAGTGCATAGCGGCAGATGGGCCTGCCCTTGCAAACCAAGGCCTCTCCTGATGGCTACCTGGATGACCCTGAATAAGGATCAGAACCAGGAACCTGTCTTCCTTGACCCACTGGGTGTCATTGGAAACACGACTGTGATAGTGAGTTTCCAAGGCCATTTTCTGCCACGTGCAGAGCTGGGAGACCAGCGGAGGAGACTCTGGTGACTCCTAGGAGCAGGCAGGATCTGGAAGCCTCAGGATTCCCACAGTCGGGTGCACTCCAGGGGCGCTCAAGTCAGGTAGGAGCAGACTGCAACCCTGCTCCTTTGAGAGCACCTTGCGCCTAGAGGAGCTGCCAGATAAGAGAGGCAGGGGCAGCCCCAGAGCACCTGGCTGCTGTCGGGGCAGAGACATTGCTCAAATCTGGAACTGGCCAAGAGAGTGAGTCCCCATCATCATCTCCCACTGAGCCCGCAGCCTTCAGACCCTGAATTTGGAACCCAGACTTGGACGTCGCACTGGCTGCCCCGTGGGCAAGAAGATCCAAGATCCCTCTTCCAGCAGCGGCGTGGACACGGATCCAAGCCATCCTCCCACTGCACCAGGACCAAAGCCCTCGCAGCCCGTTTCTCGCGGCTACCTGGCTCTGACCCCCTCGCGCCCCCGCGCGACCATCTCTGTTCCCATAGCGGTGCAAGTGATGTAAGGCAGACAGGCTCGCGCGCTTTCCTCCTGCCGGGACTGAGTCCTCCCTCCCGCCGGCAGCGCCGTGCGCTGTGCACCCACTCTGCTAGCTGTGCCCAGGATCCGCTTCCAGAGCTCCAGCGACCTACAAGCCAAGAGCGAGGCTGGGAAAGACCCTCCTCCCCTGTCCCACCTCCCTCCTCCTCTGCCCCACCTCCTGTGTGCAGTGTCGGTGAGGAAAACCAAGCTTGGCTTTCGGAACCCAGGAAAAGAACCGAGGGACGGTCCATACGAAGGTTTCTGGAGACATTTAGAGACATTTAGACTTTCTCCAGTCACAGGAGGTGGCAGGAGCCTTCAGGTAACTCGGTGGCTCTACTTGGTACATGTTGATATAAGATAGGGTTGCAATGGTGAATGGGGGGGGTGTTGAAAAGGGGGAGGGAGGAAAGGAATGAGGGGAAGATGAGAGAGATAAAGAGAAAGAGACAGAGAGACACACAGAGAGACACACAGAGAGAGACAGAGAGAAGATTGAGAGACAAGAGTCAGGGATAGCAAGAAAGAGTTGGTGGGTGGGAAGTTGGATTGGGTTTTTTTTTTTTAATATCTGTGGTTTTGCCTACCACAGAAGAAAGAAGTGCTCCCTGGCTACCAAGCAGCCCCCAACCTGGATGGAGTGAAAGATGCGGCCTGATGACATAAACCCTAGGACTGGGCTGGTGGTGGCCCTGGTCAGTGTTTTTCTGGTCTTTGGCTTCATGTTCACTGTCTCTGGCATGAAGGGGGAAACTCTGGGGAACATCCCTCTGTTGGCCATCGGGCCAGCCATCTGCCTACCAGGCATCGCAGCCATTGCTCTGGCCAGGAAAACCGAAGGATGTACCAAGTGGCCAGAGAATGAGCTACTCTGGGTCCGCAAGTTACCCTGTTTCCGGAAGCCCAAGGACAAGGAAGTGGTAGAACTGCTGAGGACCCCCTCAGACCTGGAGTCCGGCAAGGGGAGCTCAGACGAACTGGCTAAGAAAGCAGGCCTCAGAGGGAAGCCGCTCCCACAGGGGCCAGGTGAGGTGCCTATGGCCAGCTCCATTACCACCCCCACCCCCACTGAGGAAGGAGAATGCCAGAGTCTAGTCCAGAGTGGGCGTCAGGAGGAGACGTCCAGATATCTGGATGGCTACTGCCCCTCGGGCAGTTCCCTCGCCTACAGTGCCTTGGACGTCAAGGGCTCAGCCTGGGACAGAGCTGACCGCCCAGAGCCGGAGGACAGCATCTTTTTTGTGCCCCAGGACAGTATCATCGTTTGCTCCTACAAGCAGAACAGCCCCTATGACAGATACTGTTGCTACATCAATCAGAGCCAAGGCAGGTGGGACCACGAGACAATAGTCTGATCTGGGTGTACGGGGGTCCCGTGCTAACAGACACATTGCTACACTCAGCTCGCAAAAGAAGAAAATCTCTGCTCCAACAGCCTTCACACTATTAGAAACTAGCATGGTATGTGATGGGGGTACAGACCTCTGGTGCCTGATACTGTGTAAATAGGCATGTAGGGGGTATATTTAGGGAAGTATTGAGAATTACTTCTCTTTAAGGAAGAGGCAGTAAATAGGAAAGAAAGTTCCATTTGCTTCTGAACAATTTAAACAATTTGAATGCTTTGTAAAACAGCCCCCAAAGTGCTAGCAAGCCCCTGGTGACAGCCAAAGTCTAGAGTGAGCCATGTATCAAATGATACAGGGCTATCCACACAGAAGCTTCCTGCTCTGTGTCTGAAGAGAGTGAAGGAAAATTTTGTGTTCCTTTATATGAAATGAGTTTTGCCTGTTGAAAATGTAGAAAAGCTTTTCACATATAGTAATTGCTGAAAGAAATAAAAATCAAGATAGAATAGGTAAACCCTCCTTCGATGGGATGGATTTTGGAGGAAGGGGAGTTTAAGTAGTAGGACTATATATAACTGAGTCCTGGCCTCTGACAAGATCACTGTTTCAAATAAAGTGTTGGTTATGTTATGTGAAAAGTTAATATTTAGGTGGTTGTGTTACTTCTTAAACTCATTTGGGTTGATTTTCTGGGACTTCATTTGAAATTTTTAAATGTTTATTAACACTCATGTATTTCCTCACCAGGTGCAAAATGACTTGATGTAATATTTTCATAGATTAGAATTTCTTTTTAATAAGACAAAACAAATTTTACATGTGTGTGTGTCTATTAAAGTGTCTTCAAGATTTCTGAGAGGCATGTATAGCCATTACTATATGCCTTTTAAAACATGAAACTACAGAGTCAATTATTTAGTCCTGAACATTGTAAAAAAAATGTGTATGAAATGCAATGGTTAAGCTTTTGGAAATGCTGTTGTTTGTACATTTGTTTAACAACCTCCCCCTACCCCTGCAATGACTGTAAATACCAATGAAACAAGAGTTAATTTATAAGGTTTAACAGAAGCTCATATTTTACTAAGTTTACTGGATCAGTGAAATTTACATGAGAGAAACCTCATTATTTCCTGCTATTTTTGTGACTGAGAAGAAACATCATAGTGATATCCTAAAATTTGTCCTATTTCTCTTGCTTAATTGCAACAGATTAAAAGAATTATCAGCTGGAATGCCACTTTACCCTTCTGCATTTTTAGAAATGGTGATATATTTATTCTTGAGAATTAGGATTATTTTATACCCTTCAGTGAATTTTAATTCTAATTATTAAATTTTAGTCACTTTCTCCCAAAGAGTGAATTGAGGGGGGAAAATGGGGGACTTGTCTCTTTTAAATATTTCAAGTTCAGCTCTGTGGTTCTTAAGTCAACTGTCCTGTCTTAAGAATTATGCTCTTAAAAGTCACAATTCTTGAATGATGTTTAAGATCAAAAGTATGTCATCTTTTAGTCAGGCTTCAAGGTCGGGAAATGAGATGTGTGATCTTGGAGAAAGTTCATCTTCCAACACCTCAGTTTCCCACTCTGTGGAAGAGGAATGGGCAAAAGACTCATTTACACTAAGTTGTTTCCATCATTCATTCCCAGGTAGGATATCCTAACATTAAATCAAAGGAACTGTGTGTTGCAGGAAGTAAGCTACAGCAAAATGCATGCCCATGTTATGCAATACATGATTAAAACCATGCAATGTGGATTAAATTGCTACTACTCAAAAAAAATTGTAGATATAGTAAAGCAGATGTATTCCCTTACTAAATATTATTTATTACACACCAATGCATTCCTGTGCATAAAACTGAAAATATTGAGAGTAAGATATTTTTGAAGAAAAAAAAATGTTTTACTGTTAATGGATCCCAAAGCAATACAGCTTTGTACTGCATGTAACTGGTTCTAGAACTGTGGTGGTAAGGGGTAATTTCCTAAAGTCACAATATCTGTTTTGAAAGCAGAAAATAGTATTTATATAGAGAAGATTATTGGAAATGAAGGAACAAAAGTTTCCCCCAATGTACTTGCCACGTTGGCATTGTCAGAAGAAGCAAGGAAAATAGAAATAGATGTTTGTTGGGGCTCAGCGAGACTTACCGGTGTTTGAGGAGACACTAGGATTTAGAATTTTTCACATAATGTGTACATCTGTGCACAGAGTCCCATTTTCAAATCAAGTGTCAAATACTGACTTAGATATATAAATTACTTTTAATCACATTTTCAAGTTGTATTTCAGAAAAAAAATTCTTACATTTACCTATTTAAAATACGGAACTCATCTAAGTATATATTTGTGGGTACATTTTCCTGTGCTAAAAGAATGATTTTCAGATGTTGGGCTGAGAGATATAACCTTCTTTACCCAAAGAATAAAATGTGAGTTGTGACCCGTGTAGATTTTTCTTATTATCTTTCACTGAGCCACCCCCTCCTCTGTGCTGCAAGGCAGCCTGTGCCCTAATCAACACTTTAAGTACTACTCAGAGTAAACCTGTTGTTCTCTTGAAAAGAGGCAGAAGAAAGAGGAAAAAAGTGTCCTAAGTCCTAGGAGGAAAAGAGAACAGCCTATTCATTGAAACCAATGGCCTTAGGAAATTACTAATATTAACATAAGAAGCAAGAGGTTTGTTCCCAGAAGCCCTTAAGAACTCCCGAACTGATATACATTGAAATAGGCACCAGTTTCTTTTCCTTTGCTATTAATTCAAATCCTCATTTTCTACTTGATGTTAAATAGGCATTTTACTTTTGAAATTTCTCTATTCAGTCTCTTATGATCTGTCTCCCTACTTATTAGGACCACAGGCTCCTTTCCCATCTGCCTATTTCTTGATTCCTAATGTGAATTCTGCCAAGATACGCAAGCTGGAGTACACTGGACAACTGTTTCAAGATTTACTCTCAGTTGCAATCATCTTGGGGGAGGGATCCAAATACAGTTAGGTTCCGGCTGGCCCTCTTCCATTTCTGCCTATCAACTCCTCTGAAATGTTTTCAGCACTGTGGAGTTTAGCACCCACTGGGCTGACAGACATGGAAGAGAAGGGTGAGTTCTTTAATGATGTTTCTCTTCCACAAATTCTAATCTCTACTTATGAGTGACAGCCCTCTGTGCCCATGGCACTGACTATTGGGTGCATTCACTATCTTTGACACCATTATTATTTTTTGCTGGGCATAGTGGTCATGGTTCTGTAATCCCAGCACCTAGACATGGGGCAGAGGCAAGAGCAAGTCTTCCTCAATGTGAACTGGGGGACAACCCGGTCTGCATTCATGAGACCCTGTTGAAACAAAAAAGAAATTCCTAAAGAGAACTACTTTACTTCTATTTTGCCATCTCATCCTCCAGACCTTGTCCACATGCATACATAGTGTAATGATTATAGCAGCTTGCTTTTATTTGTCTTTTCTCCTTACATAATCCCTGGGCATGTTTTCCCCTTTCTGTACATTATTCTTAATCATAAGTTAATAGCTGTGTAATATACCATTTTGGTTCATTTGCCATTCCTTATTGCTAACCATTTATAAAGTGCTATCAATGTTTTCACCATATGGCCACAGAAATGAAGGTTTACTATTGAAAAACTGTCTCTTTGAAGAGAGGGCAGAAATGCGTAACTTCATTTCGCCTCTGCTCCACCTTCTCTTCACACATGTGGCTCAAAGATGCAGAGTGGAGATTGATGTTGTTTCAAAATGCCTCATCTCAAAACTAGATTATAGCAAGGTCGGCCTTCAAAAGCACAAGGTCCAACAAGCAAAATAATAAGCAAATAGAATTAATTAATGGTAATTTCTAATATTCCAAAGCATTTTTCTTGAAGTGCTTCTCCATATATTTTATATTTCGTATGTGTGTATAGTAATAACTTATCAATGAACTGAAGCTTTAGAAATTCAACCAACTCTACCCAGGACTTTTCTGTGTTTCAGTTCCTAACTACAACAAAACAAAACAGAAAAACAGGGAGGATGGAAACATGCGTAAATGTTCGAAGCTCAACCAAAAATCTCAATGAAGGCTTGCATTCTAGTCAGCTTGACATAAAAGCATATAAATACTGTGTTTGTCAGTTTTCTGTTACCCTCACAAATTAACTGAGATTATAACCAAGGTATAAAGAGGAAAGATTATAATCAATTTATTTTTTTTAAAAACATCACAGTTTTGGAGTTTTCACTCCAAGATCAGGTGGGCCCATTGCTTTGAGACCTGTGTTAAGTTGTCCAACATGACAAGTATCAGAAAACACTGTAAAACTTCCCTTTTGTCTGTCTGGAATGAATGGAAGAGCCTCCCCCTCACCTTTCCCCCCTGCCATGGTCCTTTGGTGGCATGTCCCCAGTGACTGGAAGACCTCACACCATACCTCTCCAAGTTCCTAGCACCTCCTAGTAGCACCAAGTTGGGGAAAGTAAGCCTCTAACAGGTGGGGCTTGAGGGGGAGGGGGGACACTGCAGATCTAATCTATAGGGAGCACTGGTGAGTGCTAATGAATGGGCCTTTCACAGGGTATCATTCCACAGGCTCCCAACACAAAGCCTGTTCTGGTTGGGCTCCCTTGCCCAGGAATCTTCAGAACCTGAGTATTTTAGATTTTGGGGTTACTAGATTTGGGAATTTTTACTAAGACTGTATTAGGCAAGCTTCCCTAACACAAAATTCTAAAGGTGAAATGCCACGAAATTTAAAACTTTTTGAATGTCATGTCAGCACTGTGAATGTTTCCCATTTAGGGCACTTAGGAGTCGGCTTTTTGAATTAGGAATACTCTATCCAGACATCAGGCTAGGCAGATACACAAGATAGGCATGGACTCAGTCTCCAGTCTGGTAGTTCCTGGGCTTGACCCAGCTAGGGGTCTTTTCTCTTATTCCTCCTCTGACCCCAGGTTAGAACTCACCCATCTCGGTATCCTTGGTAACAGTGCAAGGCTTTGCAAGCTGGAGGTAAAGTTACAGAATGGATGGGTTATTAAACACAACACGAACTGGTTTAACATCTTATGTTCTGTTTGACACACCTGTCAAATCTGAAAGTTAAATGTAAAGATATTTTTTGCAATCGATCACTTCTTATTTTCATAGAAATAGGCAACTGTATATAAGTCTTATACCTGAAGTCAGACCATATGAAGAAAACTGGGCTTTGAAACTCATCTGCCTATAACTCAGCAGTCACCTGCTATGCAAACAAGTAGACCACCAGAACCACTCCAAAAGGCCACTCTGATTGCTCTGTCAGCTCCCTCATGCCCTATGTGGCAACCTGCTTTATCTAAATGTATTTTTAAATTTTTATTTATTTTGGCATCTTTTGCCTCACTCATTTTTTTGTTTTGTTTTGATTTTTTGAGAGAAAGAACATGAAGTTGAGTAAATATGGGGGTGGAGAGGATCTGGGAAGAGCCGGGGAGGGAAAATATATAAAAATTTGTATGAAGAGATAGTTTATTCTTAAAAACTGGGTAATAAGATAAAATTTATTTGGTGGGGTGGGAACAGTGCAGGCATGCCATGAAACACAAATGGGTGTCGGAGGACAATGGGAAGTCAGTTCTCTTCCTCTACCATGTAGATCCCAGGAATCAACTCATCAGTGGGCTTGACAGCAAGTGCTTTGACCCACTGAGCAACTTGCTGGCCCCTGAAGCAGCTTCTTGATTTCCTGGCTACAACCTGCAGCTGACCACTGGAGCCTTTGTCTAAGAGCTCCCTGGGGAAAGGGATGATAATTGGTTCATCTTTTCTCCACCTTCCCTCCTAAAATGCATCCTGCCTTGCTCGGTGAATACTCCAAATTGCACCATTTAGTCACACTAAAAGCCTATTTCCCTCTTTATATTAAATATAATCAGCAATAATGTGAACTGAAATAGGCTTCTGGGGGTTGAGGTCCTAGTTCCTATTTGGTATATGGTTTTCCTGGAGGAACTACATCTCACATAACAAGAAGAGGAGACACACCCTTGCAGAACATTTCCCTTCCCTCCATGATTGATCTAACTTCCATTACCTGAGCTTTGGGCCAGTGGTTGCACCAAACCCATGACAAGAACTGGTGATTCTTGGAGCATGTAAAAACCACTCTCAAATTCACGGTCAGAAATAAAAGTAAACCACTGCTAACCGTGTTAATATTGCAAGTATGTAAACAAAATAGAACCCCCGGCATCGGTCGGTCACTGTCCCTCTGCTAAGTTCCCCCTCAGACAATGCTTAACAGCAACTTCAAGGTAAACTGGCTCCCCTCAGGTAGGTATTGGGGAGCTGAGCTACCAGCCCTCACCCACCCACCCCTCCCCTGACTCCCAAGGAAGGAGTTCTCTCTCTTCACACCGAGACTGTGGTTTGTGCTTTAGAGAAACACAACTGTTCTGCATCAGGATGACAGCATTGTTCAGCAAGTCCCGTGAGCACTATTTAAAGCCAGTCTTAATAACTTCTAACCTATATAGTTTGTTCTGTGAATTCCCCACTATCTAACTAGATAAAACCATATTAAATAACTCTTTTCCTGAGCAATAGGGATCATTGAGATCTCGAACAAGACAAGAAATCCTTTGAATATGAGAAAAGATGTTGTGTTAGAACTTCCAGCCCTGTAACAGGATATCTGATACAGGTTATTTGTTTTGGTTCATGTTTTCCAAGTTCTAAGCCCATCATGGTGTAGAGGGAAACACGTATCAAGGTGGCAAGAAGACAGAGAGGAAACATCTGCCTTAAGCACTTCCTTTTCTTCTCCAATTCCATTCCAGCCCCAGCCAAAGGGATAGCACTGTGCACATTCAGAACTGATCTTCTCCCTTAATCATCTCTGAAAATG